CCCGGAGGGAGGTGAGCGGAAAGGGTCGTGTGTGAAGTAAAGGCTTAAGGAAACTAGGGGATGGTAAAAGGGGGAGGTTTGGGTAGGAAATAGGGGGGCAGGGTTGCGGTGGGCATGGAGGGAGGTGTGGTAGAGGACATGAGGGAGTTGTGCGGGAGGGCTTGGAGAAGGGGCTGGAAACGTGAGTTGTGGGGCAAAACTCTCAGAAAGGGAACATGTAGGACAGGACTGGTCTGAGCATATGGTTTTAGCTAAGCTTCAAGCAGAGAACAACCAAATGTGCCTCTTGCCTGGGCATTTTGCAGGCTGGCTTTGGATGAATCATTTATCCAACTTGATTGTTCCCATGTGAAATGGGAATATTGCTTCACGGGATGGCTGTTATCTCTCAATAGCCGGTGGCTGTAAAACACCAAGAAACCCTGTGTTCAAAATGAAAAAAGGTAGGGTGTTGCAGCTCATCAGGACCTCTTTAAGCACCGTCTCCATGTTATTTTCAGTACCTTTCTGGGGTTTTCCCCACTATTTATTTCCTCTGTGTTACAATTTTAAGGAAATTACTTAGGTTAATTTTAGCAGAGCGTCGTTCTGTCCCAGGACAAGAGCTAGGCCATTGCTGCATCCTTAATTGTAATAATGCTTTTAACTGGGCCAGTGAAAAAGCTCTTATTAGCGTTAGGGTCTTGGTCCGGCTGATCCAGGAGCTACCTGGATCCTAGCAAAGCAATTTGGGAGAAGTGGGAGGAAAAAAATCACCTGAAAGTAAACAAACTATGTTTTAAGTTGGAAGGGTGTCGCAGCGACTCCTGCTACTGCAATCTAGTGGTTAAAGCAGGAATTGTCTGCGAGGAGGTGAACAAACAAGTTTAAGTGTTCGGGTATTATTACATAAAAATGGTATGTAATTCTGTTAGTCATCAGCTGTATATTTTAAGCAAACCTAAAAATAGCCGTGTTTGGGGGTTTCATTTGTTACTACTCTGCCATGCCAAGTTCCTCTCCAGAGTGAATGTTCATGTCCACGTGGGTATAATACTGATTAATTAGCGCGCTGCGTGATATGACTGGCGCTTTATTCCATAAGGAGAGGGGTTTTACCTAACTTTGGTTGGTGCGAGTGCGGTACTGGTGGGCCATTTCGCTCTGCTGAAGGATTTGGCCCCTGTTAGAGCTGGAAGAGGCCGTCCCGGGGAGGTTTTCTGGCCTGGGGGAGCGCTGAGCTGGGACAGAAACGTGTCTTGGGGGGGGGGGGGGGGGGGCGGGACCCCCACCCTCACCTGCAAGGCAGGGGTGGTGTGGCAGGGGTGCCCCACCACCCCCCGCTC